GTACATACACCAACAATTTCTTTTCTTGATTATTATTATTGTTTTAATAATAATAATAATTATTATTATTATTGTTGAATAATAGTAATCATTATTATTGCTATTGTTGTTGTATTTTTTAATTTATCACAAGTGAAATGAACTTTGAATCAGATTTTTACTTAATGCAAATTATTTATTTTAGCCTGTTCCAAGATGACATTTGTAACTGAGACGACGACGATGATGATGACGACGATGATGATGATGATGACGCTAACTAACTAAGGTGACGATGATAACTGCGTTGATGATGCTGATGACGACGACGAAAATGATTATTCAAATATACACATACATAATACATGTACGCTTGTAAATTCGTGTCTGTCTGGGTCTGTATAAACCTGTCCCTAATAATGAACTCTGTTGATTTTTTGACCTATTTATTTATTTATTTTATTCAAACTGCAGACAAGAATGCTTTGATTATACATGATTGGAATTCAGAAAGATGCATTGTTATTATTCCTATTAATGTTTTTATTAATGTTATTATTATTATTATTGTTGTTTTATTATCATTAATATATTATAATTAAATATTTTTTAATAATGTTACTCATTATAGCATCTTTCTCTATCTATAAGTTTTTTTCTCATTGTTATTGAACAACACATTGACTTAGTTTGATTTAAATTTAAGACACACACACACACGCACACGCACAAAAACACACACACACACACAAAGAGTCAACAAACTATCATAAAAGAGTGAAAGCAAATCAAACGACTAACACCTCAAAATGCAAATTACAATACAAAACTAGAATTAAAAAACATATGATACAAAAAATACAAAACACCAAAGATACAAAAAATACCAAAGACACAAAAAAATACAGTGCAAAACCATACCAGCAGCATCGAATCTTTGAGTGACCTCATCATCGACAATAACTTTAATACCACTTCTGCAGAAATACATAATGTCGGCCAGCGTAAATGCCCCATGTAAATCTTCTATCGATCTCCTAAACTCGATCTTCGGATGTCGATAGGCCGGGGCTACATCCTGATTCTCATCATCACATACCTGATCATCGTTACCCTGATCATTGTTACTGCCTGGTAATGATATAAAAATAATAGTAAAAAAATAAATAACAATAACAAATAAATTACTTTTATTATTATTTTCCAATGCTTTGTTGTGGATCTCTATTCTGTGCTTGCCCCACTGAAAAATAAATATTAGAAAAAATAAATTAACATTTCTTTTATTGTAAGTGGGTTTATATAACTATCTAATATTTTATTTAATCATTTTTTAATAAATTTCCAATTTCAATTAGTTTTATTTAAAAAATAATGCTATCAGCTATTGCTGATGATATATTTATAATATAATTAGCTTATAATATTTATATAATTTTATACTAAAATAAATATTGTTATGGTATGGTATGGTATGGAGAATTTATATAGCGCCCCTCTATGTAAAACTCAGAGGCGCTGTTCGAGAAGCTGCCGGTCAAAAAAGTGATGTTTAAGTCGTTTTTGGAACATGTCTCTTTCATCCATACTATCAACGACATCATCGGGCAGTTTATTCCAAACCTCCGCTGCAGCCACGGAGAAACGACGCCGTCCATAATTTTCTGTCCTGAACCTAGAAACAACGAGTTTCTTTTTGGCAGAGGATCTGAGTTTTCGCCCCCCGGTAGCTGTAGGGACAGGCACGATCAGCTGTTGAAGGTATCGAGGACCAAGCCCCATCAAACTGTCTCTTGTAAACATTGCTATTCTGAATTCAATTCTATAACAAACTGGCAACCAGTGAAGCTCAATGAATGATGAAACAGATTCATATTTTGTTACACCAGCAATTATTCTCGCTGCTGTGTTCAGAATAGACTGTATGCAGTTTTGAAGATACAAGCTTGTACCATAGAGGATTGAACTGCAGTAATCTATTCTTCCACAAATGAAACTGTTATGTATGTTGTAATATGTAATCTTAATAACATGTTATCAGTTGTTATGTTACCATGTCAGGTATGTACATGAACAATCTTTGTCTGTCTTCTTAATTAACTATGCCTTAATTAAGTTCTTAATCTTACTTCTTAGCAATCTTAGAGCTCTTAGAGCCTACAACTCATTGGTATAAATATTCAAATTAATAATCAAATAAGCCCCAAATTGGCCCCACTCACCTCAAAAATCAGTATCATAATTTTAGTGTAAAGCTTTGTGATGCCAGATGATTTTCCAAACGCGGCCATAAGGATAACAAGAAGGTAGAGTAGAAACCCGGGGGCGAAAATGATTGACAGGGTGGCATAAATTAAATTTTCAAGTGTGAAAAACATTTTGGATGAATATTTTTTCAAAAGATTATTTCGCAGTTTTTGTAAATTAGTGTCAGCTTAATCGCGACTCAGTTTGTTTTTTGATCTACCATCTCTCATTTATTTGAAGTTGTTAACACTAATCACCTCAACAGCTGGCTAAGTTCACTTTTAAACAATTAGCTGATTGACTTTTTAACATATGTGAAAGCAAGTATGTTTCAACACAAATAAAAATGTTATATCAAATTTCGTGTTTCAGTATTAAAATTTCAAACGTCATATATAAGATATAAACAAACGAAAAAGTACTTGGTTGGAAAAAATTATTAAAGAAGCAACACTCAAAACGAGGAGAAAATGTTGGCAAATATCGGCAGGGCTATAAAATCTTTCACCCCCCAAAGAATAACAATGCATTGAGTGAACGAATGATTGATTGATTAATTCATTTGTTCATTCAATCGTTGGTTGAGGTGGGGGACTGGGGGTGCCATAGCCCTGGCGACACCTGCCAATATTTTACGCTGCTCAGTTACTCTTCTAGTATACTTATTTACATACATGTGAATGTGAAATTGTGAACACACACACACACACACACACACACACACACACACACACACACACACTCACAGACACACAGTAGGAATATTGACAGTTGTTATGATATAGTGTAGTAAAGTGTTTGGTTGTGATACCCACACAATACCAAAAAACATTTTTATGCCTGTGTATGGTTTTAGTTTATTTGTATATATATCTTTATTTATATGTGTGTGTATTTGTATGTACGCATATGTGTGTAATTGTTCGATAATCTTTGTCTGATGCTGTAACTGTGATTTTCGAACATGAATCACTTGGTAGTTTTATGAAGGTAACGTGTTGTTGAGATTGGAAACTTGCTTTATATATATATATAAATAAATAAATAAATAAATAAATATATATATATATATATATATGTATGTGTGTTTGTTTGTATATGCGTGTATGTGTGTGTTTGTGTGTCTGTGTGTGCGGACATCATATGTACTGTTCACCGAAAAATCTGATGAAACGTCATACAAAAAGATTTATGATGTCAACTTTTTCTTTCAAAAGTTCTTTGCCATAGCTTCATTTATTTTCATATTTTGTTTTTATATAATTTATTTATTTATTTGACATTTTTTTTATAAAGAATTAATTTCAGAAAAAATGATTAAAATGAATATTTTTTAACTGAATTTTAAAATGTGTAAAATCGAAAAAAAAACTCTAAGTGAACGAAACTGCTAATAAAACCAGCCACACTCAATTGAGAACCGGCAATTAATCTTTGTCACACGCACACACACACACTCACACAGACACACACACACAGACAAACATACAAGCAAACAAACCAAACGAACCACACAAACATACAAACAAACATACAAACAAACATACAAACATACAGAATACAAAACACTAGCAACTGGGTAAGAAAGCGAGAGCACTTCAGACAAAAGTTAATTAATTTAGGTACCGAGTTTGTCGCATGGCGAGTTCGTTCGGGGTCGAAATGGCCGTTCATCAAACGGACAAACATTAATGAAACATTGTTACGTCACATAACATTACGTCACATTACCAAGTGTTACATTAGTTAGTTTACAAGACATTACAATGCATTACAATCAAAAACAGTACAATCCAATGCAATAGAGCCAAGCTTTTGCAAACATATAAACGAACACATAAGCCAACCACATACACACGCACACACACACACACACACACACACGCACACACGCACACACACACACACACACAGATACATCTTTAGTGCAACTCAGATTAATTCAAAGGAATGGTCCAAGATGCATTGAGAAAGAATATAGAGGTTTCTTTGTGTCTTCTTCGCATGTCGTTCATAGTCTCTCTCTCTCTCTCTCTTTCTCTCTCTCCTCTTTCTCTCTCTCTCTTTTTTATTTTCTCTCTCTTTATCTCTTTATCTCTTACTCTCTTTCTCTCTTTATCCTTTTCTTTCTTTTTTTCTTTCTTTCTTTCTTTTTTTCTTTCTTTTTTTCTTTCTTTTTTTCTTTCTTTCTTCCTCGTATTTTCTTTCTCTAGTCAACTATATGCTGATGATTCTTACATTTATACTTCTTTTCCTCCATCTAATCTCAATAGTGTTCTTCATAATTTATCTCTATGTCTTTCTTCAATTATCGCTTGGTCTGACTCTATGTGTCTTAAACTTAATCCTTCTAAGTTTGAATTAATTTGTTTTAATAAATCTAAACACTTTATTACTATTCCTCCTATTATCTTACCTGATTCTAAAACTCTTGATGTCTCTCATAAGTTTCGTAGTCTAGGTTTTATCTTTGATTCTACTATGTCTCTCTCTTCTCAGATTAATAGTGTTGCTAGAAGCTCTTACTTTCATCTACGTAGAATAAAAAAACTTTTGCCTTTTCTTGATGATCCTACTCTTCTCCTTCTTGTTACTTCGTTAGTCTTATCTAGGATTGATTATTGTAACTCGCTCTACTATGGTCTTCCTGACTCTATACTCTATCTTTTAAGTAAAGCTTTTAACTCTGCTGCTCGTCTAGTTGCTCGTGCCCCTTTCTTTTCTCATATATCTCCATATCTTGTTCTCTTGCACCGGCTACCTATAAAATATAGAATAATTTTTAAAATTTGCACGTTCATGTATAAGTCTCAATCTAAATTATTTCCTAAGTTTTTATCAGATATATTAATTGAACCTAAACGCCCCGGTTTACGATCGTCTTCTTCTTCTCGCTTTTTCTTAACTCGTGTTAAACACTCTTTTGCCAAATCTGCTTTTGCTTTTTCTGGTCCTTTTCTATGGAACTCTCTACCTACTTCTCTGACTACTTCTCCATCACTTACGAAGTTCAGAGCGGATCTCAAGACCCATCTGTTTGCAAAATTCATTGAGGAGCGCTGTTGAACATCGCGGAAATAGCGCTTTGTAAGCTAATTGATTGATTGATTGATTTCGTTCTTTCTCTTTCATTCCATAAAAATAAGTTTTACTCAAAACATGCCTTTGAATTTTTTAAAAAGTTCCATCATTAAGTTTTAAACTATTTGGTTAATAACAAAAAAGTGAATAATAATAATAACAATAATAATTATAACAATAATAAAAATTATTACTTAAAATATAATTAAAGTGAAAATATCGCCATTAAGCGCTTCAAAAGTCGATCCATCTTTATTTAAATGGCATTGTTTGGTGATAAATGAAAATTTGGTTGGTTTTGTTGATGTGTTCGTTCGTTCGTTCGTTCGTTCGTTCGTTCGTTCGTTCGTTCGTTCACCGTTATTATCATTTATATTATTTGTTCTTTTATTTTTTAGTATTTTGTTTCTGTCTGCCGTACGAACTACTTCGCACCAAGAAACCACTTTATTCGTCAATGTTTTCAATATAATAATAATAACAACAACAATAAAAATAATAATAACAATAATAACAACAACAAATAATAATTAATAATCATTATAACGGCAACTTTAATAACAACTACAACAACATCAACAACAAGAGTCATCAAAATAATAATTGTATATAAACATATACACAATGTATCAGTTGAATATATATATATATATATATATATATATATATATATATATATATATATATATATATATATATGTATATATATAATGTGTTTGTGTGTGTGTGTGTGTGTGTGACGTACAGCCAGCCAACCAACCAACCATATCACCAACCATATATGGGGTGGATGTGATCAAATTTTTGAATTATTTGAAAGACGTAATAATACATATAACAATGTCAGGTCAACAACAACAACAAACAGTTTATCGAGGCCCATTGTATAATACACTACTTAAAAATAACCATACTATAATAATAATAATAATAATAATAACAATAATTTATGATGTTGTTTGTGTGTTTGTGTATGTTAAAAGCGAAATAAAAAAAAACTTCTATTCACATGCGTTTTATTGTAGTTTATGACGCCAAATGTAATATGAAGGAGAAAAAAAGATGAGTGTGAGAGAGAAAGAGAGAGGGAGAGAGAAAGAGGATGGATAAATGAAGAGAGATGGAAAAAAAGAGAGAGATAATGGAAGTTGAAAAAAGAGATAGAACCAGAAAGAGAGATAAATATAAATTGAGAAAAAAAAGGTGAAGAGAGTATCAGTTGATAAAACAGAAAAGGAGAGAAAGAGAGAGAGAGAGAAAGAGAGAGAGAAAGATAGAAACAGAAAGAGAAAAAGAGAGAAAAGAGAGAGAGAGAGAGGATTGGGTAAATGTAATTATGATCCACATCTGTCCGGTCTCTGTCAAATATACTTTTTCTCTTTCCCGGAAACACTAATAAAGATGTAATTTTATATTTGCTTGTTGTTGTTGTTGCAACTGCTGCTGATGTAGTTTTTTTTCTACGATTCGAGATTTCTTTTCATGCTGTCGTTGTTGTAGTTGTTGAGGACGTCGTACTTGTTGCTGGTGACGTCATAGTAGTTGCTGGTGACGTCATAGTAGTTGCTGGTGACGTCATAGTAGTTGCTGGTGACGTCATAGTAGTTGCTGGTGACGTCATAGTTGTTGCTGGTGACGTAACAGTTGTTGGTCACATGTTTTTTTGTTAAGGTTGCTTTTTTTTTGTTGATGAAGTTGTTAATGTTGTTTTATTTTTTAAAACATGCTGTTGTAACTTCGTTACTTTAATCTTACATTTATTTACTTATAATTGTACATTGGCTATACTTGCTCATATATACATACTACATACTACACACACGCACACACACACACGCGCACACACACACGCACGCACACACACACGCATATATATATATATATATATATACTTTTAGTTTATTTAGATATATATGACAAATTTGAAGAGTTCGCAACATGAGATAATGAAAAATATTTATCCATGCATTCATTCATTTATTCATTCATTCATTATATATATCCATCTGTTCATTCATTCATTCATTCATTCATTCATTCATTCATTCATTCATTCATTCATTCATTCATTCATTCATTCATTCATTCATTCATTCATTCATTCATTCATTCATTCATTCAGTCTTTCATTCATTCATTCATTCATTCATTCACTCATTCATTCATTCATTCATTCATTCACTCACTCATTCA